AGTATTTGCAAGCTCTCGAAGAATTATTGTTGTGGTCGCCATTGTTTCGTGTGCCGTTTTTATTAGCTTTCAGAGACACAGTTCTGTGGACCGCTAAATATTTTGGATTTAATGTGGCCCAGCATAAATATACCTTGATATAGATCTCAATTTTTGTTAAATTAGGTTAATAAACCTGATCAATAAAAGTTAGGTTTTTTTAGTAAAACATTACATCTAGACTAATGGCAGTTTATCCCTACTAATATTATATAAATACGAAAGTTACTCTGTCTGTCTGTGTATATAATATAAATATTATATAAGAATGAATATTATGTCAGATATCACTTTCAGAGTAAGAAATATAAGTGATTAATAAGAACATGGTCGCCAAGTACATAAAAATTTAAATTTATAAAAGGATTAAAAGGAAAAGGAGGTAAAAACCTTGTCAAGGTTTTAACGTATATTTTGGTTAATATCTGTTGAAACATGATACCAATATCCACAATAACAATTTTTACGATAAATACAATAGGTAACTTTTATTTCGATAATGGTTGCGAAAGATGGTGATATGTTTTGGTCCTTCGAGCCAGAACTTCTGTGACTACCTATCAATCAGGGCAGGTAAATGCTTCCACTTTTACGTGAAATTAAATGGTTGCTATGACTAAAAAGGATGATCGAGAGAAGCCTTAAAGATGTCTTACATTTCAGTAGGTCGTATATAATAAAAAACATAAAGAACTACAGTTTTGATAACTTTAATTGTGGTGGAATTTTAGATAGACATAACTATACTAAACATCGCCAACTTATCAAAGAGCTCTGTTAGATGTGTGTAATTCTTACAGGAAGCTATCAATTGATGCCTCATATCCAGTATAAAAAATGAAGAAAAATGGAAATACAAGTAAACAAGTGTTCTTATTTCCTTAATCACATTCTGACCTGCATTTTTCTCAGTAAAAACTCAACATGATGCAAGAAGTGAGAGGTGTGTGTGTTTACAAGGAAAACCAAACTGCCCCAAGCATGGATTACGCGTTTGTGCTGAATGCACGTACCACTACGAATTCTCAAAAACGCAGAAAAATAAAAGGGGAAATTAAAAAGAAAGTTTTAAAATAGTTATATGAGTGCGAACTGTGCAGCACTGCGAAGTACATAAATGCGTGATGGACTACTATGTCTGATGGTTACCTAAATAATCGATTGCACTAGAAAACAATAATAAGGAGTATCACCACCCCAATTCATCCTGTAGGAGTCTTAAGAGCCGACTAAAGGAATAAATTACGCAGGACAACAACGCTGCAAAGAGAAACCTCTTTTCTAAGGAGAGGCTTTGCCCAGCAGTAGACTATTAAAGGCTGTCGATGATTGATGTTTACAAAACGTGGATATATCTTACACCTTTTTTTAGCCCCTTCGATAAAAAGCGAGATATATTTTGAGACAGAAGATGTGTCATCATCTCATCATCATTACAAAGCAAGATAAAAGGTCAGAGACAAAGGAAGGCATGACGATGCAAATGATATGCACAAATAATGCTTTACGGCAGCCATCAAGCTAGACGGACTTTACGGTTTTAAGCCGACAATACCTTATCCTTAACAACCAGCACGTAATTGGTTTCCTCAAAAGTTTTTCTGTTGTCATTTTAGGTAGGTCTAGAACAGTCTTATAGTAATGACGCAAAGTTAAACTTTATAATGCAAGAAAAGCATGGTATGATTAACAAAAAAAAGGCAATAATTTTTCCTCCGAGTCTTTTTCCCAAACTAGGTTGGGCTCGGCCTTAACTCTACTGTGCTCCCCGAGGCACTTAGGGTGGGGATCTCGGTGTGTTAAGAATGGTCACCCATCCATAGACTGACCTGGCTAGGACTGCTTAATTGTGTAATGTGTTAAACTACTCTGTTACCACATAGCCACGAGGCAACGGCAATAATAGATTTTGGAAATACCAAAACTTTAGATATGAAAATAAAAATGAAGTCAAATATAAAACTCTAAAATAAGCCAATAAGTTATGGTATTAATCTAGGGTAGAAATAAAGAATACTGCCGGCCTGATGAAACGGTCCCGAGATTTTATATTTCAGCTATATGTATATCATTGACACTACATTTTATTCGTAAATTTAGCGCAAATAGGCGGTTGAATCATCTCACAACTACAACGCCACTAGACATGCAAATGTATTGTTGTGTATGGCATGCGGGCGACACATAAATTGTTTCTACATGGCACGACTATAATCCTTGATTAGGTGAGCACAGCGAAAGATAGGGAGTCTCTCTATACAATTCATTTAGTAGATGTTTTTAATGAATTTTCGAACTTAAGTTAGCTTTCTAAGTACCTAGCACTTCTTTAAAAATTACACAGAGAAAGATGGTTATAATAAAATAACTCTTCGTTTAACTCGAGAATACAATAAAGTAGCACATAGCACAGCAGATTCCTTATAAACGACCTGTATTAGATGAATGCAGCATCTTCGCTTCATTACCATGTAAATAAGTGATATTAGAAATATATTTTAATGATCTTAAAAGAATGACCCTACGATTTAAATTACAAATTGCACTGCAGTGAGAGTTGATTTGTTTTTTTCTATTCTATTACTCTGCATGAATCTCTACCAGCAAGTGCAGATCTTCTCGACGTTATTTAAAGAGACCTATGTCCAGCAGTGGATGTCCTATGGCTGAAATGATGATGATAACTATATAATTACTACTACAGACTACAAACAAAATAAAATAGTACAAGACTACTCCTTGGCTTTCAGGAACAATCTAAACAAAGGTCAAGACGCTTAACGATTACCAAACGTTTACTAATTTTCACTCGTACGCAAATATGTTGTCTATTAAAGGAAACCACGTGCTTATACTGTTTGTAAACACCGGTCTATAATGGTATTATTGATGTTTGTTCTTACTTGAGTACTATGTGAATATAAATAATACCTATCACTACTCTGAGGGCTAGTGTAAGTTAAGTTCACTTTAACTCGATCGTCACACGTTCAGCGTTGTGATTGGTGAAGAGTTCAGTGTTCAGAAGAGTCACCGTAGATTTTATGAGAATCCTCTGGAAAATGTTATTACTACCACCACTAGGGGGATTCTGTATTAACTACAATAACACATGTAAACATTGAGGTTGGCACACAGTGTATCCTGTCTGAAAGATAACTGTCTTCACAGAACAAACGGACAGATTTCATAGCAAATTCAAGTTTCATTTCATTTAAGTTTGCTTATACACTATTGGCTAGTACACGCGACTTCGTTCGCGTGGAATATGAAAAGCCCTGTCTTAGTGGGTGCGATTCCCGGACCGGGCAAAATTATAAAAGGCTTTTCTGAGCAAAAATAGGCTAAGTTACTCCTTATATAGACAGCTACCTGGTAGTAAATATAGATATCAAAATCGGTCCCGCCGTTTAAAAGATTACCCGAAACAAACAGACAGACAGACAAAAAAAACTGGTTTTTAGACATAGGTATCGTGCAAATAACCGTGTAGGTATGAAAAAACCTATTATTTTGACATTACAATCAATTTGTATAGATTTTCGGGAATTTTTGGCAAATTGTGCATAGGCAGACTGAGCCTCTAAACATTTTTTTAACAGACAGTTCAAAAATATAGAAAAAAAATATCACGGTACTAGAAACGAACGCCACGCACAAAATCAAATAATTATTATTAATTTTGTATTATTCCTTTTAATTGTTATGTATTAAATTAAGTATGATAGGTGTGATTTCAAGGTATTTCCGAAGGCGTAAAAAAAAAGGACCCACATTACGCCTAACCCTAATAAAACGTCGAAACTAATAGCATAAAAGCTAGAATTATATCAGTTATCATTAAGTACATTCGTAAATATTGATCGATGTAAGAAATAATACTTTAGTAGCCGACATGTGAAAACGATTTTAACATATCGCACCTTCGGCAACACAAAGGCATAAATGACACAAATTGAAAACACAATTATTAAAAAACCAATGGCATTTAAAAATTAACACCTTATATAGAGAAATAAACTCTTCATTTGGTTCAACTTATAAAACAGAAGGCAAGCTTAGAATGCTAATTTGAGCATAATAATACATTTACATTAACTGAAAAAAATAAAAACCTAATGCCTGGGTCGCAATTCCCAGGCGCTGTCGAAGTCGCATGTGTTGCCCCATCTATCACGCGATGGACCCGGCACCCGCCCGGTGAATCAATGGAACGCTCTAAGAAATAGGTCTTAGATGGCTCTTCTGTAAAATTTATCATTAAAAAGTGCAATTATGCCTTTGTCTTACCGTACCATTATGATAAGTATAATATCCATACGTTATGTTGAGCAAGCTCAGCTTATAACGCAAATAACTTTTACCACAATGGCAATGCCCTGTTGAAATCAACAGAGCAACTTCACGCATAGCGTTTTAGCGCCAAATTAATCCGGACGTCGAAAGGATGCAACTTCGCCAGTATGGTCAACAAATTTGACAGTAACTTTAACATACAACCCATAACCGTTGGTTAAAATACACGTAAAACCAATTCACCATTGTTCCAATCATAAGATACTGAGGTATGATGAAAATTTAATAATGAACAGACCATGATGATATACAAAATGTTAGTTATGAGGGGATCTGATTAATTAATCAATGGGAAAATATTTAATTAAGTTTCATATTTATTTTAAATATAAAAATATTATGTAAAAATATTAGGTAATGATGTTAAAATTCTAAAAAAAAGTTTTAACTTACCTTTTGCCAGTATTACAATATTTTTTGATTTCGTAAATTTTCAAAACGAATCACCAGAAATTTTTAACAAAATCATAATCTCTGTATAAAATAAATAAAAAGTAGGATTGATACATAAAATGTTTTAAAAAGAGATTACAATAGTTGGTATATGTATGAAGTGGCTGAAATAAAATACGCGATTACTGCTATCTTATATGCTAGGTACTTACCAATTCAGCCACAATTTGTTTCTTGAGTCTCTGACACTCGTTCATTGAAGGATTTGTAAGTGGTGCGAATTTTTTAGCGTTCTGTAACAAAGTATTTATTCGATAAAAAAGCTTAAACTATTTTTAGAATTACCTAATAAAGCATTAACAGTATCACATGTATCAGAGATGGTGTGATAACACCTATAAAAGCTCTTCTTTGAACTTTGACATTAAAAGGGACATTAATCGTTGGGTCTAACCGATAACTCACATTTTAAATTACGTTCATAGGCCACTCCTTAGAATGGAAGTTTTCCCCTTAGTCGGCGCTTGCGACACCCACGGGATGAGTAAGGGTGGTGGGGACACTCCTTATTCTTAATCCGTCATCGCACGGACGAATTCGTTTGCGTTCACTAATTAAAAATCATGTGATAATACATGTAATTCACATTCGCACATATAATTTAAAATTGATAAACCTGATTTAAAATGAGTGTGTGAGTTTGTTAGTCTTAGAGTCTGTTTATTACATATTAGAAATGCAGTAGAGGAGATCCATCGATCCAGTGGAGGGAAAAGGAATATGTTTGCAAGTAATACATGAATGAATTGATTTTTAAAATATACATTTACGCTGGCGAAGCGTGCAAAAGATTGTATAACAATCCAGGATGCATATCGTGATAGAAACGGCATGTTAATATATCAGCAGGTGAATATAAGTAAAAAAAAAAAACAAAAAAGAACAGAATTTATCAAACTAGACTCGTCACCAAGGACAAACAGGACAGGCTTAAATTGGTCATTATTATCTCAAGATATTTCATTTGTACAAACCTGTTTCGATTTATTTTTAGATTGTATTGCCATGTTGATATCCTTGAAGGAATGTATGGAGACATCTAGTGTAGAAGCTTCCAATTCTTTGTTTTTAGGTTCGTTGTTCTTAGATTTTGGTATTGGCTTTTTGTGATTATCTGGTTGCTGTAACAAACAATTTCATAAATTATATTTTGATTCTGATTTTACCAACTTTAAAAAAAAAACATGACTTTCTTAATTTGCTTTTTTGGTATGTTTGTTAATTCAGAAACACGTCATTTATGAACGAATTTGCAAAATGAAGGCTCATTGAAGGCAGTGATATTTTTTTAAGTTAATTTGTAATTGTGTAAATTCAGTTTATCTTTGTTATTTCCATTATTAATATATATATATATATATTCCTAATGTAATGTTCCTATTTTTAAAGTCCCCCACGACACAGGATATATTACTAATGCGGGAGTTGTCTGTTTTTTAGATATATTTGTTATTTATATTTTATAAATACATATTTTTGATACTTGTAGCGTATCACACACTGCTGAACAACTGCTGTAGGGTATGGTTACAATTCTAGAAAAAACTTACATGAGTATGATGGGTCAGATCGTCTTCCCAATTGTTTATTTGATCGGCTAACGCTGCTAGTCTACCGAACTTTCTTTTACCGTCAGGCTGGGGCCGTGGCTTCGGTTTGGCCTGTTCAAAGTCTGATGGTGGAGTGGCCGACGAGAAGTCGTTCTCTGTTCGATGGATCGGCGATGATAGATTTGGTTTATCTGTAAAGAGATTAACCACTATGTAAACTACATTCCAACGTACATGTAATTTTAAATGGCTGTGGTAATGTAATTGTAAATACGGTATTATTTCTTTTTCCGTTGTTTTAACAGTTTTACAAAGCATATTTTTGCATGTGTCGATCTAGTGTACTTGTTATTTATTTTTAAAAGTATGAGTTTAAATAATTGATGTTCTATAGTCATATTACATTTGCTGTACCTAACACACGACCGTTAACTACTTTGGTATACACGTAAACGCAATGTATGTATGACTTTTTATTAAAGCCGCACAGGTGTAGAGGTGAGGTAGGTTAGAGAGGTGGGTAGGTTAGCCTATTGCAAAATAAGGCAATTCCAGCCAGGTCAATCAATGGAAGGGAGACTATTCTTAGCACACTGTAGACTCGTCCGTGACTCGGAGAGCACGTTTAGCCGACGGTCCCGGTTGCCATATAAACATCTGTGGCAATCGTTACGGGTAAATCTCTCCCGGTCCCGCTCCGCCGTCAACTTCGCAAGTATAACTCTCTCTCAGAAGGAGACGGCGGAGTTCCACGCGCTCTCGCTCCGTACCATGGCCGCAATCATGGTATTAAGCGAGATAATTCCCAATCCGATGGCCGCCACGAGGTCACGCCTCTGCTCAACCCACGCCGGGCATTCTGCCAGTGATCACCCGTGATCACTTGCGTCGGCCGGTATGAGAGGGTCCCGTGTTGCCTCCAGAGCCAATCCAGCATAAAAGGTCTTACCGCCGTAATAACGTCCGACTCCGACCTAAATCCCGCGCCTCCTTGCGCCACTGATACAGAGCCGCAAAGGCTGTCGCCTCCAGGTTCCATGGTGAAATTCCGAGCCTGATAGACAGCACTCGCAGCGGTTGCCACAGTAAAGCGACGTTGATAGCCTTCAGGGCCTCCACCCATACATCATCATCATCATCATCATCAGCCTATCGCAGTCCACTGCTGGACATAGGCCTCTCCCATTGCACGCCACTTAGATCGATTTTGGGCTTCTCGCATCCAGCTCCTGCCAGCCATCCTGCGCAAATCGTCACTCCACCTGGCCTGTGGGCGTCCTACACTACGTTTACCGAGACGCGGTCTCCACTCAAGAACTCGTTTTCCCCAACGGTTGTCGGTTCTGCGGCTAATATGGCCAGCCCACTGCCACTTCAGCTTGCTGATCCGGTAGGCTATGTCGGTGACCTTGGTTCTCTGCCGGATCACCTCATTCTGATGCGATCCCTTAGAGAAACGCCGAGCATAGCCCTTTCCATAGCACGTTGAGCGACTTTGAACTTGTGGACCAGCCGTACCGTAAGTGTCCACGTTTCAGCTCCGTATGTCATGACGGGTAGGACGCACTCATTAAAGACTTTCGTCTTAAGGCACTGTGGGATCGACGATGAGAAGACTCGACGTAGCTTCCCAAACGCTGCCCAACCCAACCGAATTCTTCTGTTCACCTCGTCCTCGAAGTTGTTTCTACCTAACTGCAATGTTTGCCCGAGGTACACATAATTTTGAACAACTTCGAGAACGGCACCGTGTACCGCAATCGGTTCCGATAGTACATGTTCGTTGAACATGACCTTGGTTTTATCCAAGTTCATCCGTAGGCCGATGCGTACAGAAGCGTCAACTAGGTCATTCAGCATTTGCTGTAGGTCCTGCAACGTCTCTGTCATGATGACGATGTCGTCTGCAAATCGCAAGTGAGAGATGTATTCGCCATTGATATTGATGCCACGCCCTTTCCAGTGCAGCGTCTTGAACATGTCCTCCATTGCATTTGTGAACAATTTCGGGGAAATAACGTCCCCTTGTCTCACTCCTCGATGCGATGGTAAGGAATGAACTTGGACGGACATGGTGGCGGCTTTGTAGAGACATCTCATCACTTGGATGTATCGCCAATCTACTTGGCAACGTTGCAGAGACTCCAGAACAGACCAGATCTCGATCGAGTCAAAGGCTTTCTCATAGTCCACGAATGCTAGACACAGGGGCTGATTATATTCTTCGGTCTTCTGTATAATCTGCCGCACTGTGTGGATGTGGTCTATGGTGCCATATCCGCTCCGAAACCCACCTTGCTCCGGTGGTTGGAATTAGTCGAGTCTTTGCGCAAGACGGTTCGTGATGACTCTCGAAAACAGCTTGTAGATGTGGCTTAGAAGGGATATGGGTCGATAGTTCTGCAACCTGGTCTTGTCACCCTTTTTGAAGAACAAGACGACCACACTCCTACTCCACGCTTCCGGAGTTCTCCCTTCAAACAGGACAGCGTTGAAGAGCTTTTGGAGATCCCTTAGTACAGGTTTACCCCCGGCCTTTAGCAGCTCTGTTGTAACGCCGTCCTCTCCAGGGGCTTTTCCATTTTTCAGCTGTCCAAGAGCCATCTCGATTTCGTCAATGCTAACTTCTGGCAGGTCTTCGGTGTAGTGACGTGTTAATGTGGCTCTAGAGTCCTCATTTTCGGGATCAGGTCGAGATGCATGGGAAGCGTATAACCGGCCATAGAAGCTTTCCACTTCCAAAAGGACTGCCGGCTTCGAAGCAACGACTTCTCCACTTTCTGTGGTCAACTTTGTCAGGTGGCTTCTTCCAAGAGATTGTACGAACACTTTTGAACCCCGATTTTGCTCGATCGCTCTTTCAATTGAAAGAGTATTGGAGCACCGGAGGTCGTGTCGTACGAGTTTACTGATCTCTCGGTTTAGAGTCCGCTTTGCCGACAAAGTGACAGGTGGGTTTTCACGTCGTTTCTTCATCAGCCCTAGGGTCCCTTCTGAAAGCTTCGACTTCCTGCCCTTACGCTGCATTTCACAAAATCTCGTACCTTCTTCCCTGAGGATCCGAACCACATTTTTGAGGTTCTGGTTTACGTCGATTGTGGTTTCCACGGCAGCGAATCGGTTTTCCAGTTTTGACTGGAACGTTTCAGATCCTGTCATGGCTTGGAGCAGAGTCGGTCGGAGCCTGGATTTCATTAAACAGACACGTTCCGTCTTAAAGTTGATATTCAGAGAGCCGCGGACAAGTCGGTGATCACTACCAGTATTAAACCTATTGATCACTGAGACGTCTCTGAATATGTGCTTTCTATCCGTCATGATGAAATCGATCTCATTTTTGGTCATAGCGTCGGGGCTTTGCCACGTCGACTTCCTTTGGGGCTGTTTCTTGAAGAAAGAGTTCATCAAAAAGAGCCCCTCCCGTTCGAGGAAGTTGACCAGCATTTGCCCCCTATGATTCCTGCTTCCAAATCCATGGGATCCTACTACCGATTCGCCGCAATTCTGTACACCCACTTTAGCGTTGAAGTCACCCATAACAACGTTGTAGTGACCCACCCATACTGGGGCCCTATAAAGGGCCATGGCCAGGCACAACCTCCGAATAGAGCCTCAGGAGTCATCGGGTTCCCTCATATTGGGCAGCAGCCGCGCTAATGCAGGTGCGGCTCCAACTAACTTGGGGACCAGACCTCGGAAATGATGTCCAAAGTCAAACCGGCCATCGAGTACAAGCCCCAGAAGCCCATCGAGGGCTCGATGCCGATGCGAGTTCATCCTACTATGAGGCTGGATCCCTCAGGCGGCTTCTTCCGAGGCCCATTAAAGAACAAGGCGGGTCACGTAGTTGGACTCTTAAAAGTCCTACAACGGTCTATCTACAGAACTTTGATATCGCCTAGTACTTGGGTTATGGAGGTCTGATGGCAGTCGCTTCACGTATAATATCGCAGCCGTATCGTGGTAGACTAAAAGCCGACAAAAAAACCTTTGGGAAAAGGCTCGCAGGGCAATAAATAAATTATATTCATTATAACAAACTTTTATAAGGAGCCAGATCACTCTCACATCCTACATTTTATAGGTAGGTATTTGTCCTTTATCAGCAATGTTTATAAACACACTATACTATTATGAGTCATGGCAACGAAACGACACAAGCCTTTGTATTAGGTCATATTAGTCATTTTCCTGTGATTCAGAATAAGGAAGCTCGGAGGGCTTTATAATTAAATAAACATGTCAAACAATAAAAACTTGGTCGATTGCTGTGAATATCCATGAATTTTCGGTGAATAAATTTCTATATTCGGAGTATAATGCAATGGACAGACGATGCCGCAAGGCGCTTTGTCTGAATCTATAAACTAAGTGTTTATGCAATTTGAATCTTAAAATTCAGACTTTAGGTTCAAATTGCAAGTAAAATATTTGGTTTCTGGAAGGCTACAAACAGTTTTTGTGCTGTATTTGTCAGTAGCCAGTGCAGTATTTTTTTTTTATCCAATAGTGATGACTGAATAAAAATATTTTTTTCAAATAGGATGTTGTATTCATGTTCTTAGGAAAGCTGATATATTTTATTATTATTTGAATACTTATAATATTAAAGTAAAAAACTCACCCGAATATAGATTACCAAGCCTGTCTAGGCGTGACTTCATGTTGTGTCTCAGACCAATACGGTCAGTCTTCTGCTCTGGCATTTCCACAGCTCCTTTCTCCATATTACTGGATGTGTCGTCTGGAATATAAAAAACAAACTAAAATTTAAGTATTATATATTACAAAGCTAAAGAGTTTGTTTGTTTATTTGGTTGATTGCGCTGATCTTAGGAACTACTGGTTGGAGTTGAAAATTTCTTTTGGTGTTGGATAGCCCATTTATCAAGGAATGCTATAGGCTGTAAAACATAATGCTACCACACGCACCACCAATAGGAGACGAACATCAATGAAAAATGTTTCAATAACAGTCAAAAAAGCTTTTTTGAGAGACGAAGATAAAGTTTATCATCAATAACCTTAAATAGTCCACTGCTGTACATAAGCCTTTCCTTAGGAAAGCGTTATTGGCCTACTTACACCACACTGGCCAGACAGGTTGGTATAGCGTTTGTTTCAAGTATTCTATCTCTTCATAGTGGCATTGTCCTACATAGTTTTTTCCCTTAGTTGGCTCTACGACGATTGAATTGGGATAGTGACAATCCGTATTCTTAATCCGTCATCTCCTCATAAATCTAGATGAATGTATATGAAAACTCGAAATATGCAAAGTTTAATTAATTTTTCTTAGTATGTAATAATAATCTTTAAAGATTACAAGTTGTGTATTTTATATTAATGTGTAATTAGTATTTTTTGGTAAATATTTGCATTACAATTTACCTTTGTTACACCTATATTTATATTGATAGTGTGTGTGTATGCCAGAAAAAGAATGAACTGTTATTCAATTTATACACTTCACTTCACAACATGCTAGTTTGAATTATAAACAACTACTATTCAAAACAATCATTTACATGAATCCAGTAAGTTAATGCTTTGTTGACCTTTAGAGTATATTCAGCAATTATATTTTGTCTGACATTAGTGACTAATAGCAGTAACTCTGAAAGGATACTGTTTATTTTATCAATTAAGTGGTTAATGGTTTGTTTTGTTTTTAATGGGACTTAATAATGGGAATGTTTCTAAGGTATAGTAAGATTGGCATATGGCTCTTGCCTAAGTAATAACTGAGTAGCATAACACAGCAAAGTTAAGCAATCCTAGCCAGGTCAGTATATGGATAGGTGATGATTTTTTGTAACACTGAGACCCCTCGGGTGCCATATGAACATCTGTGGCAATCATTACTGGTAGTTGAAGCGCTAAAAAGTGGAGGTGTGGTGGCAGTCTCTCTGCATTATAAAATTGAAGTTCAATTGTATCATAGTAGATTTAAAGCCGACCCCAACCTAGTTTGGGAAAAAAGGTCAGAGGAAAAATAAAGTAAAATTGGCATAATGTTTTAGTCAGCTCTGTCCAGTGCATATTATTTTATCAATTTTAATTGTGGTTGTTTAGTATATGGCTTGCCCGATGTGAATATTATTATAAAGAGCAAAGGGAGAGAATAAATTGGGTTGCAAATGGTACTTGGTACTGCTACCCTTGGAATGATAATGAGCCTGAAAATGCACTAATAAGGCTAATGGGAGACTATTTTAGTAATTTAATTGGCACAGATAATAAATAATTTGAGATCACTCAAATCGAAACTCCATAAATGTTGGTTAAAATTTTGAAATTAGTGTGAACCATGATTGGTGGGGCAAAAAATTTAAAAACAGAATTTGAATTCAGAAGTACTCAAAATCAAACCAAAGTATGGTTTGATTTTGAGGACTTCTGAATTCAAATTCAACTATAAGAATAATAATAATACTATTTATTAACACTATTTAACTATTATTTACATTTTTACAGCACAAAGGTGGCAAAACAGTTACAAAATTAATCACATTACCACTTCTAATTGTTTAAATTGGGTTCTTTTGGTGACTCAAAGGACAAAAAAGGAGTTATTATTGAGGCACAGGTGTCTACCCTTTAAAGAGGCAATGTTTACATATACAATCACTTTGTGAACTCCATAAAGAGATAGAGAGAGAGAGAAGAATGTAATAATGTTTACTATGACGGTTGCAATTAATATCACTTCATTAATAGTAACAAAAGAGTCACCCTCTAATGAAAATTAAATCCTATTAGTTAGGTCAAAATGATAACAAATTCTCACCTGTTATTTCCTTGATAACTACATTGCTCCCAGGAAGAGCCTGTGAGTCATATACAACACTGATAGGTACATCTCTCTCTTCAACTTGTACTTCAATCTGAATATCATTTCTATGAGAAATATTGATTTCCACTGATACATCAGAGTTCCGACGTGTGATACTGCCCCTTTTAGGACTTTTAAACTCCTTTTTCGTTACTATAACATCGTTGCGAGGGCGCTGAGGAGACGCTGTTTCAGATTTCAAACTTGATCTTTTCGATATGGCTTTTGTAGGAGTTTCAGACTTCGTAAACTCTTTGGATTGACGCTTAGGTGGAGTTGCAGACTTTGTACACTCTTTAGACTGCCTCCTTGACGATGGTAAGGTGTCCTTAACAATTTTACCAGGAGATTTCGCTGGTGAACTTTCAGATTTTACGATAGGCACATTTTCAGATAGCGGTTTCCGTTTCGGCACAACTTGTCCAGAATTCGCAAGTTTTTGGTCAATCTTCTCCTGTCTAGCTCGAGCTCTTTCTAACATGCGCTGGAAAAAGTTACGCACCGTAAAAATAATTCTATTTTCAATGACCTTTAAGTTTTACAACCGTTAAGTATAACTTTATTAAAATGTCTGTAGTGTACATACCTGAGTAAAAGGATCCATATTACTGAAATTAAAAAGTATACTTATATCACAAATTACACTGTTTTCATAATTTATGTACGCTTTCAAGATTATTTAGTTAATCACATATGTTTTGTACTTGTACTTCTCACAAGAAAACAATTTCAACAAACATTGGACCACCGTTGGAAATTTGACGTTTGGTGTAAAAATTTGAATTTAGTTTTCAGTTGATCCGGTAGGCGTCGTGCATCGATACCATAGATTTCTAAGAACTAGATCAATAAATGATGAAAAAGGGATTAATAATAATTTAAGTAAAGATAAATCAATAACAGAACATTATTAATAATCTTTTAAATTAACTTAAAGTTAAGTTTGGTATTAAGAAAATTAAGTAAATTACAGGGAAAGTTAAAACACTACGATATGAACATAACTGTACTAGACGGAGTGAAGTGTGCTGAGTTGAATTAATAAAATTATAATACATTTACTGTCTGAAAGTTATTACTAGTTTATTTATTGTCTGTAAAACTCATTGACTATTTTCGCAGTCTAGTACACAGTGAGTTTTCTTTCAATGTTTATTTTCCATCCTAATCTATAAATTTTTGGCGCTTTCTTTAAAAAAATATCCTTATGCTACTGTAGCGCCCCCAATAGGGAATATGCATGTATTTTTTTATTGTTTTAAACGATTCTACTAGTTATTACATTACCAAAAATAAATAAACACACATCCTTATATTCATTGTATTATGTCTAGTTTAGCTTGGCAAACGTCCATATATAAGCTCCAAGTCTTTACAAACGTTTGGATGCCATTGACACGCTTGCGAGTGTGCTTTTGTGTTCCGAAAAGGGAAACATAGCAGACGTGGACATATTTTTATTCAAAATATAAACGGCGGCACAAAACTAAACAAAAAACATTGTAACTACTGCTGAATTAGTAGAGCATTGATTGTTGATTCCCGACGGCCTATTTAAGTAATAATCGTGTTCCTTATCAGTTTAAGATACATTTCATAGATGGCGTTGGCTTCAATTAAGTACTAGTCTCATTTTTTGCATGCAATGGTCATATGCCTAGTGCATCGATCATCTGAATCATAAAATGTATATAAATAAATTAAATCCAGTACACTCTAGTGAAACAGTTAACTTGAATTAACTCCATTCTCTCTGATTTATGTTTTATCTATGCTCCATTCTTTTCTGGTTGTTTTTTTTTAGTATGTGTCATTGAAAATATGGAAATGCCTCCTTTCTTTCGGTAGTGGTTTTAAAATGAATTACTGGCCTTTTCCATTGCTTGTTGATCTATATTCTTTTAAAAGTCATCTAACCATTTCGAAGCTTATAAGATTGTACGATTCAAATGATCAGCATGAAGTCTGTAACTCTTTGACGACAAGCAAATCCTAGAAATTTTCATACCTGTATGATTACTATATACTCACCCATAAACCTAGATGTAAAAAAACAAAACATTTTTATAATGCAAGTCAAAACACAAGTTCATAGACTTATCGCAACATGACACCTTGACATAATGCTAAGTAATTTACCTATTAACTTTTCGTTTGCATCAAATATAGGCGACCTACAAGTACCTCCATGATCATACAAATATCCTTTCATACATTGATATAATACTTACATTCATACGTGACATAATAAAATGACAATTCCGCGCATCCGTGAATCCCAGTACAGGACTCGTCACAGATAGGGTATTTTTTGAGACCTAGGTTATAAAAATCTAGATATTTTCGAAAGGTGATTGAATTTTGTATAACACTTCTTAGTTTTATAAATAAAACATATTTATTTACGTAATTTCCTACATTACACCTGGTTTTGATTGGAAGTGCCATTGTTATAAGGGAAATAAAATGGGTTAACTAGAACTTATCTTTATTATCCTGTTTATAAAAAATAAAAACACTTTCTGGATGTAATATTTCTTTTATTCTTATACAACCTTGAGTATATTTTAAAATAAAAAGCAATTGTCATGTGTTTCAATACATTTTTTTTATACTGCACATGTTTATAAACTTTGAACAAAAAAAGGCCCTCTACAAATGTCACTTAAGTGGGTCTCATATTTCTTCAGTTGTTAATACATTGTTGGCATTAGGGACCTTGGGTGTTTTGTTTACAATAATTTAAGCTTATCGCCAAGCTAGTTTAAACAATTGTATGTTGTTATATTCTACAGATCTTGAGTAGGAATGCATCAAATATGAGTCTCATAAATTGGTACAAAACCAATGTCACATAAAAACTAAGATAATGCAGAATATATGCTTACCAGTGTCATAATAATTAATTATTCAAGATTTACATGAAACTAAGTATTTATTCCAATGAAAAAAACTACTCATCTGGTAGAAAAATACAAAAAAACATGTTCATAAACATAGTGAATAATTTACATTTATCTGCTCCATGAAGGCTAAATAGTATGGATGCGACTTATTTAAATTAATATAATTATCAAGGTTTGATCTTTTTTTCGGAGTTAACTATTGTGAAGTCAAATAAACAATTGTATTATGATTGTGTGCTTGAAGAGACAAAAGAAAAGAAAAATAATATTGCTTTAGGCAAAAAGAAGTTATAAACTATTTCCATCCGTAACTTCACGTCAGATAACAATAAAATGTATGAGACCACCACCGGCATATACACGTTCGAATAAACATTTTGAAAATCGGCCCACAGTAGGTGGCGAAATCGGTAAACATACATAAAAAATAATAATAATAATGTAGTGGCACATGTATAACCTCCTCCTTTTTGAAGTTGGTTAAAAAAGTAGCAGAAACTGGTTAATATACAACTAAATAAGTAATAATAATGTATGTGCCTCTCTAATGATTACGAGTTGCACCCTGGTAATCACAATGTATTTTGAATCAATACCTTTTATTTCCATAAAATATTTACATATTGTTTGGAAATGCTAAAATTTAATATAAAATAAATGGTATAGAAATACAGAAAATAAATTACCCGCCATCACATAATACAGCATTTTTTGTGTAGTACTTCACAACAATATGGATGGTAAAATCAAAGCTTTTTATTTCCATAAAATATTGAAATATTGTTTGGGGACGCAAAAATTCAATATAAAATAAATGGTATAGAAATACAAGAAATAAGTTAGCATTTTAAATTTTTTAGAAGTATCTTGAACACCAGTGCCGAAATATCCTGTGTGTGTGAGTGTGTATATGTGTGTGTGTATGTGAATGTGTGTATGTGTGTATATATATGATCCGTAAAGTGTCAGTGTGAAGTGTGGTACGGCTCATAGCAGGTGAAAATACACATAGGCACTTTGCATGCTTTGCAATAGGTTATTGTACGCTTGTGGCAGACGGCGCATTTCCGCTTAAGACGGTCCGGCTTTCTGGGCTTGATAAGGTCGTATTGGGCTGGGCTATGTATGATTGGTGTCAATGTTGGCGTGGGTGTAGGTGGTCGGTGTGCTCTCAACAAATCAGTTATTAACGACTTCCGAAATTGCCGATGTGTTAATAACTGATTGTTGAGTAGTATGTGTGCGTTAAGGATACTAGCGTTCACGAGCCTTCTAAAAAATTTTTTGTACCAAACTCTTGTGCGCCTTCTTTCAATAGGGTACATTGCCAATTGCTGATCCTTTCGGTCTACTCCGCCCATGCATACATTATAATCTTGCACGACTGTCGGCTTTAATGTATCGCCACACCTGGTAACTGCGAGACCATGGTATGTAGAGATAAAAGCTACTCGGTTTTTATCTCTCCATACCATAAGATCCACATCTCCTGAGGTGCAGCCCAACACTTGACCGACAGTCATGTCTCTTTTCGTGATGGTCGCCAATTCACGGGGCACAAATTGGCGGTTTGTACGCAAGGTGCCCACACAGTCAAACCCTAGCACCTTGAGCTCTCGGGCTAGCGCTGGTGAGTTGTAAAAATTATCCATCCATATTGTGTGCCCTTTATGCTCGAGACCATTTAAAAGTCTGAGCACGAGAGATGGTACTATACCAGATATTGGATCATCATCTTGAAGTGCCGAGTCATCATGACCAGCGTGCACTTCAAAACGCCACAAATATCCCGTCTGGGATTCACAAATCTCATATGTTTTGATCCCAACTGTCGCTGCCTTGTTACGGATGAACTGGTTGATGTCAAGCCAGCCCTTCCACATGGTTAGACTCTCGTCGAGAGCTATATTTTGTGACAGATTATATAGCGACGAAAATTTATTGTTGAGGTGGTCTAATATTGGTTTTATCTTGTAAATTTTAGCCTCGGGTCGTGTCAGCAATGCAGGGTCGCAATCATTATTGTTGCGGAAGTGGAGGCATTTTGACAGCAGCTGGAAGCGATCGCATGTCATCTCCATGGCGAAACCCGGTGTGATGAAAATATCTTGAGCCACATTCCAGTACTCCTCTAGTCGGCTTTTCACGACCAAGCCCATAGCCATAACAATGGCAAGATATGTGTAAATTTCAGTTACATTTGTATCTTGCCAACGTGTAATCCGGCTTTTGGGCTTTATTGAGTTATTGACGAGCATGGATGCTGCCAACTGCTGTGCGTAAATGTTGGTTTCCCTGACAATCAGTTCAATAATTTCGCGATCCCATATGGCTGTAAAAGCTTCATACGGGTTCGCGTAAGAAACCTTAGGACCGCTATTAATTTGCGAGAACGGTTCTCGCCTCAAATGAGGTTCAATTTGAGGCATTGTAATCGCTCTCCAATTAAACTTAAATTTATCGCTCGGCTCCATGGGAGTCATGGATAGCGAAGCAGGCACGGGTGAAGTGACCATCGGTGTGGGCGTCAGTGAGGTGGGCGTCGGTGTGGCGGGCGTTGGTAACCCGGGCATTGATGCAGATGTACGTAGTTCAGATGGGAGAGGTGGCCAGTTTAAGGTTACGTGAACATAACCTTCTTGGATCTCCTTATCATCTTCTTCCAAATACATCCGCGCCATCCGGGGCACCCCTAACATTGGGGTACTGCCTTCTTCCTCTTCGCCAGACTCATCTTCGCTGCCTAAAAGGCAAAAATGGACAAGTTTTGGATTCGATTTTAATAAGTACCTTACTTCCGCGATTGTTGAAAAATAGTTGTTGTTAAAATGCCTTACCATAATTTAGCATATTGGCTATTTCAGTATCGTCGAGAGGTCTGACACTGGCCGGAAGAACTCTAAAAATAAAAAAGATATTTTAATCAACGCTTGTAATTCTTTTATAGAGTTAGGTATACCGAGATGAACTTTCTTTGATTGCCAATTACGCGATGATGCATAAATAAAATTTTGATAATTAAGCTACTAAATTTTCTTAATAATATTTATTTATTTAACGAAATAGGTTAAATATTTACAGGGCAGGTGATGGCGCCGTATTCGTTATATTTGAGACCGAATCTACCGTCGAATTGGCCTCCATAGGCATGGGCGGACGGGTCTCATGTCCACGAGAGGTGGATGGAGCAATCGTCTCGAAGGACGACCATAAAATTTCTGATCTGAAAGCAATAAACAACCACAGATATTTGTTTTGCTGTTATGAACATAAATATTCAAAACAATCAAGTATGCTCACTCTGGGTTTCTGGCCACCATGGCAGGGAGGACCCTTATCTTTTTAGGATGGATTGGTATCTCTAAGGGCTGGCCCTCTGGCAGGTTTTTTATTATATCACAGAATACTCTGAAATATATATTGACATTATTAAAAGAAATAAAGCACTAAAAAAATTAAAATAAATAATATAAACTAATAACTAAATAATAAGGTTAAGTAAGTTAGTATTATGAGGTTATTACGGTTCCGAAGTCGAAGGCCTGTCAAGGAGACGACCGCCACCACGTTGCCCACCTCGCTTGACTGTGGCTTCAAATGTTGTTTTTGATATAAAATGTGAAGAATTTAATCATATTAGTTAATAAAATGAAATATTACTTACTGTTCCATGATTTTATTGCTGAATAACAGTATAAAATGTGAAACTGAGCACAAACAGAATAGTTCTTTCACGGCAATCACAGACTGTCTCGATCACAGATTAAAACAACAAAAGTCAACTTTTTTATACCACAGACTTCCCAAATTCTATGTGAGAGGAGACCCTGTTCTTTCGTGAACAATTCGTAATACGTTGGAAAGGGATAGAGCTTTAGGACGCAATTTAATAGGCATTTAAACAAACATCTGTGCCGCGTCCTGTGACAAGACGCGTCACGTTTCGCGATTATTGACGTGTCCTGCTACAGGACTCGTCACGTACGAAAGGATATATAAGATTTTTATGGTTTTAACTCCTGTGATCGTGATAAAATGCCACAATAAATGCATAATAATATGGTGACTCTTTCAAAACGACATAAGCTTATCTATGATTCCAAGCCAGCTGGTCCGGATGTCTTAATAACAGCAGTTTCCGGATCCGTCCTGTTTCAGGTACAGAGTGGCACACCGTGTGGTTTTATTCGATCCGATTCCAACACACCACCCTGCGGCAAACTAAGGTGGGGTGTTTCCTCGCGTAAAAAAACGTCTAATAGCAACTGTCTTCTTTTACGTAGTTGTTATAATTCTGGAATAAGAATATATATGCCGACTGGAGGTCCATCGACCCCTCACGTCGTTTTTTGCCGTGTGCCCACGTACATTTTGGTTAGGTTCTATTTTTTCGGTAGTAAACCTCACATCGTAAATAAAGCTTCTGACATTCATTACTTCGTTGAATAATTATTTTCACTGAATTTCCCTATCATTCAAGGTTACAAAAACAACATAGTACATAAGTGTTGTACAAAGTGTGCAATCTGCCTAATGTAATATTATTGAATAATTTGATTATAATGCACTGAGGTATTTCTCACAGTGTGTAATAGCGGTAGACTATCAACTTGTTGACTGCGGAACCAGTTTCGTGGAAGTATTTGTCGAGTAAAGACTTGTTTGTGTGCTGCAAGACGAAAATATGGGTATGTAATAAATATGTTTCAACATACAAGCATTTTAACAAGACATTTAGAAATATAATGTTGTTTAGAATTACATATTTGACAACATTTTAAATTGTAAATAAGATTGATAGTGCGTAAAGGCATAATGTATTATGACTTCCATATTAAAATCAATGCATAGATTGTTTGTTTTGATAACGTTTATTTTGTTTATTTATGAACCTTTAGAAATCATTACACATTTACATTACAACAACTTAAATTTTTATGAATTAAAATAATATGAATAATTCGTAAAATTATTTAATTTTTTACCACTTTCTTTTTGGTTTTATTCATAATGTATCGGAATTTTATTGAGGTTTTAATAGTGTAATTAAAGGCAGTGTTACCAGTAATTATATATTTGATACACCTAGATTTCATTGAGTTAGATAAAAGATACGAATAGTAGACGTTTCTAAATTCTCGCAGGGCACTCTCTGGTACAGTCCAGACTCGTCTAGTTCTATCCTTGAACTTCCCAAGGGAAGAACTAGACGAAAAGTACCTTATTAACTAGGTACCAAGTTAATGAAAGACAGAGGTCCTGCAATCGTCACAATACAGAACCTTTGAGGAATTAAACGATCATTTATTGAATTATTGATAAAGATTCCATGTCCAAAATATCAAGACCTCCCATTTCGATTTGTCGTTTTTCGCAATTCTAAAAGTCAAGCAGTAAGAAAATTTTTGGGTTGGTACTAATACAATACAACTGAAGAGTATTTTCGTTTGAGAGGTATTTATTTAAACGTAGTAATCTCTAACTGCCTCAGCCAGCATCGGGATCCAAGGCATCAACATATCGAACGAAGTTCAGTTTCGGGGTCACTTTGAGTGTAAGATCAAATTAGCCTGAAGAAGCTCGGTTTGCTGAACCGACCGAGGCAGTATTTTACTCCGGCTCACCGCGTCCAACTTTATAAGGCGCAAGTCCGGCTGCATATGGAATACTGTTCTCACCTCTATGCTCTATCACCCCATATAAATGGCACTCCACCACTGTGCGCATCAAGACTTTTTGCCTCGAACAACCAATATGTGTAAAAAGTTATTGTCTGCGGTATTTCTGGTACGATACGACCTACAAGAAAAGAGCGCACTTCTTCCCAAAATGCCTTTAACGAGTTTGTGACTCCTGAGTTGCAGGCGTTCTTGGGCGGCGGTGGTCACTTTCCATCAGGTGACCTTCTTCTATAAAAAATGTTGATAAATTATCTGATGATTTCTTACTTACTTCTTACATATAACATCAATACTAAAAATCTAAAGTAATTTAAAAGATGCGTCCAACCTTAGAAGAGAACAATATCAAGAGCTCTAAGCATGCTTTTTTTGATGAAAGAAAATCGTTTTGCTGTTTTTTTTTAAACTAAGACCCGAAAAGTAAAACCTAAAAGTGTAATAAATTTTAGACTTCTGGATTTTTAGAGTAGAGACGTTATTTAAACGGAGGTGGGATGTCATGATCGTCCTAAACGACAATTCTCTGACGTATTTTAAATAAACCAAACAAGGAAATTGGTATTAATATTTTCTGTAGGTATATATTAAGTCATATACATACCTATATATATTAAGTTAATCTATGTTTGAATACCTACTTGGAATTCTCAAGTGCAGGAATTGTCTACAAACAGGAAAGGAAGATCCGACAATGTAGTAGGTTCATAAACAAAATTGCCAAGTGTACAGCGTGTAATTAGAAATAAAATATTCCAAAATATTTATTACCCGACTTTAAAAAGGGAGGTCGTTCTTAATTTTGTATTTTTTAAGTTTTTGACTTTAGAACTCCTTCATTTTTGAAGAGATTCAGAAAACTCTTACTTTTTTGGCTAATAAATTAAGAATGAAGAATGCGGTTTATTCATCATCATATAGGCACATTAAAGTGATACTTTTTAAAAAGCCAATTAGTTCTTATTAAATTTTAGTGTTTTAAGGAAAACCGGTAGGTATAACAACTGAGTGCTGTAAAGTGGCCGTCGAAGGTAAAAGCACACTGTTATTATCACTCTCATAAAACTTTGAAGTATTGTGACATTCTGTATTATAAAATTGGTACGCCACGATATGAATGTATTTTCCTTTTTTAACCGACTTCAAAACAAGGAAGAGAAGGAGGAGGAGGAATCTTTTTTTTTCACTGGTAATAATGTAATGAATATTTGGAATAGTGGCATAATTTCTTAAAAGTAACGGGATATATTATTGACCTGATTATTCACATAAATAATAAAATTATAGGGTAGGTAAAATAAGTATTGTAGCGCCATTGAAGACCGCTGAAAAATGAAATTCGATTTCACTAAGTGAATAGAGTTAAAATAAATGTTGTTAAGGCTGGCATATTTAAAAAAAATTAAGCTCGCCACGTTTTGTGAGATTTTTAATGAGCCATCAGATAAAATTTTTTGGTTTTAAAAATTTAATTAATGACCAGACTTCAGTCTGGTCATTAATTAAATTTTAATTGAAAACATTACATTAATTCAATTACATTACATTAATTATAAACACACCAATATTATAAATGCGAAAGTGTGTCTGTCTGTCAGTCTGTTACTTCTTCACGCTTAAACCGCTGAACAGATTTAGATGAAATTTGGTATGGAGACAATCCGAGTCCCAGGAAAGGACATAGGGTAGGTTTTATATTCCTTTAACGGGGTGAAAAGGGGGGTGGAAGGTTGTATGTGGAATGAATAACCGCTTAACCGATTTCTATTAAATTTGGTATGGACGTACGCCGAATCTTGGAGAAAGACAAACGCTGCTTTTTACCGTGATAACCGACGAATACGCGGGCCGAGCCGAGGGCAAAGTGTTCTAAGGCGTCAGTAAAATATACACACCTACCTATGTAAAAAATATGCATTCAATGATCCAACAGTTACTACTAGTGCAGTACATTTCCACTAAGATCTTTCAACAAACAAGTCATTCTAAATAAATAATGCTACTGCAAATCCCCGACTTTGATTTCATTGGTAGAGGTGCATTTTGCTAGAGTAGTGTCCATTTAGTTTTCTCTTCTCCTTTCTTCTTTCTTACAACGATACGTCACCATAAGAAAGATATGAATTGAACATTTTGCTCTAAAAGACTGGTATATATTTATAGATAGACGATGTGTTATGAGACAAGTACGATACGACATCATATCGTTCAGGTTAAAAGGTTACTCTTAGTCAAACTGGTATTATCCATACTTCTATACTTATATTAGAAACGTGAAAGTTAGATTGTTTGCTTGTAACGCTTTAACGCCTGAACCACTAAACCGATTTTAAAAATTCTTTCACCAATGGAAAGCTGCATTATTAGCGAGTAACATAGACTACTTTTTACCGCGATAAGCGACATACTCGCCAACGGAGCCACGGGCAAAAGCATATTAAAAAAAAATAATTGAGTCTGTTCGTTAATCACTAAACCGATTTAAAAAAATCTTTTAGCAATGGAAAGCTACGTTATCAGCGAGTAATATTACACAAGCTAGTAAATTATAATTACACTATAGTAACAATAATAATAACTATATTGAACTTCAATCCCTTAACTTCTAATGATAGTGATGTAATTTAATCTTGTTTATTTACTGTAAAATTACATGACGTAATTTAATAACATGAGAAAAGTGGTAAGCTCGTATTAAATTATGTAACGACCGATCTAGTTAGATCCTCAAAGCCGAGGGGGTAGTCAATGGCTTCTGCTAGGGTGACAGATAAAATATTAAAGTTCAAAATATTATTGCATCTGAATGTATTAAATAGTGATTAGAATATACAAATATATCTATCATGGCCCCTATTAAGTACCTATAGTATAGTAATATACTTATGCAAAGACGAAGCGAGCATTTCAAGTAGAACATAAACTACTATGATACCTACCTTACCTCTTCATATGCAAACCACTCATATAAGTTTTAAGGTCAAACATCGATTGCAACAGCAAGGATATATGTATGATATTTGGCAATCATCGTTTATAAATAAATAATGTTTCGAAATAATAACATGGCGTCTTGCGTTCTTGTTTCTCAACAACGCGAATTCAAACTTACATTGAAAGGATAGGATAGCGAGTTAATGATAATAATATCCTGCCACATAAATAACTATTTAGAATATGGACACAAACGTAACTGTCAACTAATCTGTGACAATTAGAAGCATAGGTTGTACTTGCACTATTTTTGTTTACGGGTTGGAAGATCCCTCCGGATGTAGAAACAAGGAGCGTGTGGTGTTTCTACTAATAACTGGCCACAGACATCCCACTTTGGGGAGGACCCGGACCATATGATTTCAGGTCCTCCTCGGATCGATACCGCGCCTAACAAGACCCTATCCTATGTACATGGAGCTTAGAATACGGTTAAGCACACTTAAAATATAAAAGCATAAAAAAAAACCTCAAACGCTCACGTACTTGTTTGACCACTACAAACAGACAAAGACTTATTGCAAATAAAGCTTGTCAAATTTGTATTTACTTAAGTAATTAAACTAAGTGATTTGTATTCAAATGACCATCTTGCTGTTACTATAATTTTGTATTTCCTAATATGAAATAATGAAGTTCCTTTGGGTATGCCGACCATCATAAAAACATATGAGATAACATTTGCAGTCGTCGTTAAGAAATTAAATCGATATATTTCCATTCAAATTCAGGCCAATAAAATAATATAAGATTGTGTGTGTGTGTGTGTGTGTGTGTGTGTGTGTGTGTGTGTGTGAACTGTAGTAAAAACTTATGAGGTGGCTAAAACAGGTTTTGAAGGAGCACCTGCAACATACAAGTTGTTTTATGAATCTTTTGCATGGAGAAACTTTTAAAAGTAAAGTAAGATTTCGGAAGAAAGCCGGTACGGGGGAGGTATTTATAGGCAAATAACAAAAAACCTCTTTGTAGGTACCTAAATAATTTCAGGCAATAAGCCTCGATTTTCTAAACAGTATCACTTTCGAAAATACAGAAATACATAAGTCAGTTTGGTGCTTGACAATACTCTTTAATTAATATTATATTTGTCTAAGTCAGTTGGTGAGTGACAAACGCACCAGGAGAGGTCAAACTAAGAAAAACTTCACTTCGGAGGTAGAGATAAAACAAAGAGCTTAAAAATAACAAATGTCTTTAATTTTCAGGTTCCGCTACAATCCTGCTCTCCGTCCTTGCTGTGGCGCTATTTGTTTCTTACACAGAAGCGGGTGAGTACTGCCATCTAGCGACAATCAGCTGTACTATATAGAAACTACTGATTCTGTAACGCACATAGAAAGTTCTGGCACCTGTTTATGGCTCCAGTGTTTAAATAGTGCACTATTTACAACGCTCGGGTAATTCTTGAAATATATTTCATATAGGTAAACATCTTAAGATTGGGATGCCATCCGCCTGCCATTTTTATCTGGGAGGGGAGGATAGTGGCTCCTGCAAGGCGGTACCTATTTACTAGTGCAGGAGTCAGAGAATTCGAAAATCAATGTAACACGCTTTATTTCAATAAATAATAATTTTTATTATACCTATCCTGGTCTGAGAATACTTTTGTTTGTTCCATATAACAACACATTCCACCACATACACAAATTAAAATGTGTTGCTCCAATATCAGCTATTAATCTTTGACCCATTAAGTAAATAATAAAATAAATGGCAAACAAATAACTCATATCTATGATTCCTGGTCTATGATTTTGTAAACCAAAAAAAAATAATGTAGTCAGACTGTACACTTAAGACTTTTCCTGTATATTTTATAACAAAGGTAAGTAGACCTCTATCAAGTAAAGTGGTCGTTGCGTTAAGAGTAAATTATCCAATCATAGATAATAATAGACGTGCTATAACTAGACTGCCTTAACATGTGTATTGTTATTATTCAAGCAAGTTATTATTATTTAGAAGTGTAACTACATAGTGTTTTAGAAATTTTCAAGTTCAAAATAATTGTATTAGTTATTAAACTACAAGAAAGTTGAAGAAAAAATTAAGGATTTTTTTTAATAGCTTTGCAAATATCTTGTATGTCTCTGAAAATAGACTAGGCCGTAATTTCACAGTATATTTAAAACTAAAATTATTACTGCACGACAGCAAGGTAGGTTTATTTTGATCGAGTTCGAAAATATTTAGAATAACCTATGTTTTATTCCACCAAAAACATTTTCTTGACACTGCCAAAAAGTTTTCAGACCTCATGTGGCTCTACATGCTCCAAACTCTACAGGCGCTAACTTTATAAACTCTACATCTTAGTCAAAATATGTGGCTTAATACGTTTTATCTTGTAGCAACTACCATATTATACAATAAATTCCAGCTGAGTTAAGTGGTCTACTATTGCTGCTTTTATTCAAATTCCAGCTGGTAGCTGCCCTCTTCCATCGAAGGTGTATGGCTGCAGCCCTAAATGCCTTCAGGATTACGATTGTAAGAACGGCAAAGTGTGCTGTTCCAACTCCTGCAATGCTAAATCATGCTCGGAGCCTGCTGCTTATGGTGGAGGCACTGGATCCAGTGGAAGCAAATATCAAAGTAAGTTGAAAATTACTGATATAGAGTTTTCTCTATGTTCAAAAACAATTGACACATTTTTTATTAATTTTTAAAATCTAAAGTTAGATTACGATAAATTATGACGAATCACGACTAGCTCTAGGTTAACTTCAAAATTAATCTTTCAGTCATGACGCCTTTGCAAACGTAGTAGGTAAACCGAGTTGATCATATAGTACATCTACTAAAAAGAAAAGTCCATTAAGTTCAGTAGAAAGTGTCATTAAGTTTTGTTAAAAAATATTATCAGTAGCTCCGAATACATTCTAATTAGGCAGTTGCCTATCGTTAAACCTTCACTTTTAAATCCGTTTCACAAACGAAATATAATGTTTATTTCTAATCTTAATTCTTGATTTTATCAAAATACTATTAATGTCTTACTTTACATTACTGGTATCGTTACCGAATAGGATTACCTAGCTAGTTAAGCTCAATGCTTCACTTTGAAGCGTGTTTACATTGTCGTTAATCGAATAATGAACAGCCTTTAGTAGTTCACCCCTGGACACAAGCTTCTCCTAGAAAGTTTTGACCTACTATACGACGCTGGCCAGACGGATTGGTATAGGGTTTGTTTCAAGTTTTCCTTCTCTTTGCAGTGCTGTTATCCTACATAGTTTGCTCCCTTAGTCGGCTCTTACGACACCAACAGGATGAATAGGGTTGGTGACATTCCGTATTCTAAATCCATCACCACGTGAATACACGTACGATACTCGTAATTGTTAAGTCCGGAGTTTTATTCAGACAAACAAAGCGTGTAGGTATCTGTCGGTACGGCTTCGTAGGAAATTTATTATTTGTTAATTGAGAGAGGTTCAGAATGTGTAAATATAATATTAAAGAGTACATGTTTTACTTTCCCAGCTGGCACTGGAGTATACTGCGACAACGTCAAGTGCAACGCCTACGAGGTCTGCAAGCAGGATCCGTCCACCAAACGCATGAAGTGTAGCAGACCTTGAAATGACTACTGCACATTTCATTGTATCATTTAATATCACTTTAATATTTTTACATTTAATATCCAAAAATATTTCGTATTATTAAAATATTCTCCTAAATTATGAATTTTATTAAACAGTGACTTGTGCCGCGACTTTGTACGTATGGTTTTTGGAAGTAGATTTGTCTACTTTTTAAACATAACATACTAAAAAGGTGATCTACATATTATATTGGTATAGGTAACTTTAATTTGTATTAATATTTTTTTCTGACTGAAATATTTGTAGTATATATTTTAATAAATAAATATAGATTACAATTCAATATATTTTTCGAAGACTTACTCGCAACTTTGCGATTACAGCAATGGTTTATTTTTACACAAAATAACAAAGAGTGATGGCAGAACTCTTTAATTATATTAATGGATGAGGAAAATTCTTGCTACCCTTTTTTAACTCTGAAGCACTGGAGCATATGATATTTAGAATACTTATTGTTTATATGTATTTAAATTGCAGAATTTTTAAACTGAAGTCTTTCCAATTGTTTCTTAAGTTTTTTTGACAATATGTGCTATAAAGTTAAAAAGTAGGTGACCTGTCATCATTCAAAAATCTCTTCAATGCAAGATCAAGTTATAATGGTTCCTGAAATGAAACAAGACATTCGAAACGATCTAAATTCGACCGCCAGGCGATTTCTAATGGGGTAGATGACTGGCAAGTCAAAACAGTATTTTTATTAAACGTCAAAACGATAGATTTTTATCCATGAATTTTTGTATGAAATATTATCGCGTGACGTCATTCCTAGTTGTCCCTGAAGTCGGTTAAACTTTTTATGATACACAAATTCGATTACCTAAATTTCAAATATTCGTTTTCATTTTAAGTACAGATTTATGAAAAATGCCTAACTACAAAAATAAATAAATACGGTACTAAAACTGACGGAGAAAATATAAGTCCGGCAGCTCTTCCGGGAATCGATGTCTCATTGCCATTTTCCGCTAGTTCGGCGTTCAGCTTTTCCACGATAATGTTGGGATCGAAACCATGTTTGCTCCAAAAATTTACAGCTATGCTTGGAGTGAAATTCCTCGCTATTGGGAGTTCTGGAAACGGGAAAGGGGGACCGCCTGGGATGTTGGAGTCCCCTGATCCTTCCGTCACGTCAGGGGTCCCATCATCGTCTGTGGACAAATAAGATGAAAATTATACACAGGTTGTTTTCTCTTTTGTCGTCCGAAGAAAAGTATTTAACTGCCTGGAGTAAGTTGATAATGGTAAGTCTTTAATCTAGGTGATTTTTAACTTTTTAGACGGACCTCTTGCCAAAGGTCGTGGATTCAATTCCCAACCAGGCGAAATATTGTGAGATGAGCATGCATGTATACAGGGTGTAAGGGACGTCTTAGCGAATACTGGAATAGTGTTTGGAATAGTGCGTGGCAGAAAATGCCAATGATTTTCACCTCAGAATGATAGTCTGAATAAACTATTTCAGTATTTGTTACGCGCCCTTTACACCCTGTATATAATCATCATCACTCATCATTCATATATTATAAATGTGAAAGTGAATTTGTTATGCTTTCACGCCTGAACTACTAAACCGATTATAAAAATTCTGTTATCAATGAAAAACTACATTATCAGCGAGTAATATAGGCTACTTTTTAACGCGATAACCAACATACACGCGTTCGGAGCCGAGGGCGAAAACTAGTATTGAAATATTTAAGTATGTTTATTTGAAACATATGTGCCAAGTTCACTACACTTACGTAAGTTTCTTGCCTAGTGACTTCAGAAAACAAAGAGCAGATTCTGATATTTGTACGTGGGAGAGGCACAGGTCGGCCAGCTCGACTGGAGTAATATCACAGCCTCACAAAAAACTCGTGTTAAGCTATTCTTTCGTTGATTTCAAAGGGCTTTTTTCCTTGATTTTGGAGGATGGATGCAAAGGGGGGCCCAGGCACGTTGCATCCAAGAAATGTACTCATAAGTGACTCAGAAGTTACTTGAATCGTAGGTGTCCATGGGCATCGGTAATCCCTTACCATTAGGGAATCCCTCTGCTCCTATATTATAATTGTTTTGGAAGACAACTCTCGCATTAGGAATTTATATCTAGTCGCGGGGGACTTTACATACATACATGAAATGGACAAAAGAACACCCAGACTCAGAACAACAATTTGTGGATTACATAAACGTTTTCTGGACACTTTAATCGGCCATTAAAGTGTCCAAAAAACCTTTTGCCATCCTGATATTAGTAAAAATACAGGAAAATCAATGCCGTACGAGAGCCGATGTCTGCTGCTAATAACATATCCATACTTATATTATAAATGTGAAAGTAACTTTCTTTGTTTGTGGTCACAGTGAGCAAAAAACTGTCCAAACTATAATTCTTTGAAAAATAAAATATTCATAACATACATGCAGGTGACACGGGTCCCTCTGGGGATGACCTGTCTTTCGACTTCGGCTTGACACTCTTTTTTGGAATATTCTGTATGAAAATACAAAGTGGTTAAATCAAAATAAGTATTTTTACCTGTTTCGAGGTAGTCTGAACTAATTGTCTCGCACACCAGCAGAGCAACTATCATCAACAATTTGAGTCCTGAAATCAGAGAAAATAAGCACAAATCAGATAAAATAGATTTAACGATATAAATATGCCTCTGAGTCCAGTGGTTAAGTGGTGATGGTGGTTACATATCGACTCGAAACTTGGCTGGAGAGCACAAGTTACCCAAGTCAGTCAGAAAGTTACTACATGTCTTCGCGTCTTATATCGTCTCAAGAATCTTCTGCTCATTAAAACTAAGGCTACGCTTATGCGGTCCCTTATTACTTCCTTAATCGATTATGGTGATGTGTGTTATCTTGACCTGAATGCAGACTTTCTCAATAAGCTAGACCGACTTCTCAATAAGTGCATTCGATTTGTTCGCAAGTATGACCATGTGTCTGCTTTACATTCCCAACTGAAACGCCTCCCAATTCGTCAACGCCGTAGTCTGCGTGCACTAACATGTCTTTTTTATTTCGTTGCCTATTGATTGATGGAGCATCATCAATATATTCATCAAAATCTAAACGAAGATTTTACAAATAAACAACAAATAATATGCTTCTTCTTTGCCCCCCTCACACTTTCAACTTCATCAATTCTTTGTTCTATGTACAGTCACTTCTTCTCTGAAATGCGCTCACAGTTGAAATCAGAATGTCAACTCACCGCTCTACTTTCAAGAAGAAAGTACAAAATCTTCTTCAAAATGAGTTGGCAGAAAGGTCAGAACGCTAGTGCCCGACTGTGTATTTTGATATTTATGTATGTGTGCCTATATATACACTTTGGACCTCTATGTATATGTGCAGTAATGAATATAGTATTTTATTTATAGTATATATATGTAAGTTAGATTTATCTTAAATAAATAAATTTATATAAATAAAGTCAAATTCTCTGTTTTCTATTGCACCTACCGCATCCTTTTTCTACATGTCCCGATGGTCGACTGGTAGATAATGCCTTTGGCTTTAAGTCCACCTGTATACAACTTGTAACTTATATAAATAAATATATTAAACTTTTGAAAAATTTCTGTATTGTAAATTATTATTCGAAAATAACTTGCATTTTCATTTACATTAATCGGGATCATCAAATCGATCGTCAAACGGCGGGAAACACTTTTCATGTTAAAAAAAAATTGTCAATGTCACAGTTATAAAAAAAAAGTTAAAAATTTGAATTTAGAAATCTAAGTAAAATAAAAGAAACTGTGTTTAATCTTTACACTAACCAGTATTATAACCAACATTTTTATAGGTTATTTGCCTTTGTTATTAATTTACATTTTTTTTTTTTTTTTTTCCATTTATTTAGGTAAATAAACAACGACACAATACAAAGTTTTGAATAACATTACTTATTAAGTATGTGCAACTGTGTCATCAGCGAGATTTACCACAGAGTAATGAAGTAATATTTATAGGGTT